AAGTTTAACAGTCAAATTTCCAAACCATATTGTAAAACCATAACATATTATAGATTCAATAGCTGATCTGTAAAACAGTAACATCATAGTTTTATCCACCCCATAAACCCTGAGCCTTCGCAAAAAGTGCAAGCGCTGACTAGCTCGTGTACAAGCATAGGCCACTTGATGACTCCATTGTACCTGCTCAACTTCCTCCTCATGAACTAAAATTGGACTATGATCACCCACCAACCTCGGGTCAAAGATCATTTCTTTAGTTTTTTTGACATTCAGCATCAAGTTGTGTTCCTCACACCACTGCACAACCCCTTCTATCTCTGATTTATACATGCTGACATCTGAATTATTTGTCAGCAAACTAAGTATAACTGTATCATCTTAAAATTTAATAATGTAGTTGTTTATGTACCGATTCCTGCAATCATTCGTATATAGTGTAAAAAGAAGGGGGGAACTTACGCAGCCTTGAGGAGCTCCAACATTTGTGACCAATATATCAGAGAAAGTTGAATTAATTTTCACTTGCTGTTGTCGTCCCGTTAGAAATGCATAATACCATTTAATTATATAAGGGTTCACTTCCATCTGTTTTAACTTAAATAACACAATATCTGGAAGTAAAGTATTAAACGTTGAATTCAGATCCATAAACATCACCCTAACATAAGCTGCATCATTTTCAAGGTGTTTTAAAATAAAGGCAGAGCTGTACTGTCTGTATAAATCACATAAATAACAAATATTACTGTACTGAAATACAAAAGTAAATCACACTGTTTAAAGTGTGATCCCAAGCTATGTATATTGTACTGATTGCAATGATGCTTACTGAAGCTCAAACGCCGTTAACTCAAGTAGGCGTTATTTAATGGTGTGGATAAAAGCTTTTTTATGAGTCTGCTGGGGACTTTTCACATACCTGCTGAGAACTTCAGTTACTGTTTAACTTTATAACTAGGAAGCAGTGAGGAGCACTGGACTGAGACAACCAGGGCCCCAAAACTGTGCCACAGCATCACAAATAGTGATTCTGAGGGAAGTGTTTGTGAAAAATGTACAAAATAGTGTCACACAGTATGAGTTTTTTGCATTTAAAAACATGACACGCAGGGCAGTGGAATGAAAAGAAAAACACAAATGCGTTGGAACTACTATTAACTTCAGCGGGTATCAAACACTGTGGTCAAATGCTTCCGTCTAGTGTATGTTTACATACAAAAACAATAGAAATGCATCACTGTGGAGTGCAAAACCCCATTCTGTGTGAACAGCCCCTTAATGTTGTTAAGAGTTTCAGAAGACATTATTCAAACATGCCTGTGGCTTTAAATTTTCAGCCTAAATCAATTATGCTTTCATTAAACAGCCAAATCCACACAAAATATAACATGCAAAAAGCAATGTTCTTTTAAAGTAATGCATGTTCCTTGCAACATTTCTTCAAACAAACAACGCAACATTTCTTCAAACTAATGCACTGCTACTTCAAAATAATGCATTGCACTTATGTACAGCTAAACAGTAATGTTCTGTTTCCTTCACAATGAATATTTTTTTTCGAGAACATGCTGTGTTTTTTAAATAAACATAGAATTGAATTCCTGAATCCCTCTGGACACATAGTAAGTGATCTGTTGATGTGTTTGCAAACTACTGTGCCCACCAATGTAAAGAGATCACACACACACACTTTAAATTTTTTATGAATTTATTTAATTTAATTTAATGCATTTAGCAGATGCTTTTATCCAAAGAGACTTACAGTGCATTCAGGCTATACATTTTGTTTTTACCAGTATGTGTATTGCCTTTACTTGTATTGCCATTACTGATAGGTTAATCGAAGCATGCGTTTGCAGCACTGCGTTATGTTCTCAGTGATGATGTGACGCCACATGTCAGAGTGGTCACACAAAATCCAATGCTGCTCTAGTATTCTGAAGAGTGACATTATGCACTGGCAGCCTTACAACATTACTAAGATTAGATAAGTAAGGGCTGTGCTTGCCAAATAAAATAAATAGGCTACTTCATTTAATGAATGCAGTCTCAGAGTAAACAGTCAGCGGCTGCTTCTTAGCAAGATAATACTATGCCATGAGTTCTCCATCTCTAAAATTCTATTTTATGAGCCCAATATATAATGTTGTACGGTATAAAATTTGAGATACCAAAAGGTTTTTAAAAACAAAATAAAAATCTAATTCTCACAATACAAACATTTATTAATATCAGCGGCCTGTAAGTGGTTGTCATAGTAGAACAATATTGTTCTACTATGACAACCACTTACAGGCCACTGATATTAATACAGGCCACACTCAAAACAATATCAACATGCACAAACAAATAAAATAAAAAAATCAATACCTAATCATCCTGCTCAGTTTATGGACGTCCCGCCTGCACTGCAATAGTGCCTGACTGAAGTACTTGTCCTATCATGAGCTGTAGAAGGTGTAGGCCTAATAATGTGTATTCAATTGCGCTTTCACATTTCTTATAAAGCGACAAAACAATTTACCTCGCAAACTGACGACCCGGCTGGATTTTTCTTCTCATCTTGGTGCGTTGACGCAGCCCGATGCGTTGCCATTATTTCATTTCAGAGCACAAAGGCAGAGGTCCTGTGGAGCCCAACATTGAGATGAGAGAAATCAAAGCACTATATCCCCAATGATCTAATCCACACCATCCGATTTCTTCATGCCCGTCCACTGTAAGATCCTGCGACCAAAGAAAGGTTACTGAAGAGGACACAATGTAGGACACACATAAAGATGAGTGTGACACTGTCGCCTGATATACAGGAGATCTACCCCAGTGAATAGTTACCAACAGGCCTCCCCGATATGAAATACAGAAATGTAGAATGGAGTTGAACACATTTTTTTTGTTTGTAAAGTGGCATAACAATGAATTGTAGAGTGAAGACAGAGTAGAGCACAAGTAAGATTACGTTTATTCCCCAAGCAAACACTTTCTTCAAAGCTTTCCGTTATTGCGAACAGGTGTGGCAGTAATCAGGCCTGGGTGTGGCTAGAGAAATTGAACTCAGGTGTGATAAACAACAGGGGGGCAAACACTTCTTAGCACAGGGCCATGTAGTTTTGGATTTTGTTTTCTCTTAATAATAAAAACCTACACGTTGTGTTCACTTGTGTTATCTTTGACTAACATTTAAATTTGTTTGATGATCTGAAGCATTAAAGTCTGACAAACATGCAAAAAAATAAGAAATCAGGAAGGGGGCCAACACTTTTTCACACCACTGTATGTATAAAGTAGAGTACAGAAAGGTAAACTCTCAAGTAGAATAGTACAACAAACAAAGTATGAAAATGCACAGTAGAGAGTGGTAGCCTATAGAGCAGAGTAAAACAGCAGGATAGAAAACAGGTTTACTTAGGTTATAAACATACTCTATATTCCTATATTGAGGACATGTCAGACTATATTATTGAGATAATCAAGCAGAAGTATTATTTGACCTGATTAGAACGCCACAGTGCACAGACGCGAGCTTGTCACCTGCCCTAACTACCATTTCGAGTCCAGGTCTCTGTTTCTATGGCAGGCTATTTCAGAAGATTTCTAAATCAGCAGCTAGTTAGTCCCGATTTAACATGATGCGCTGTCATGAGCTGAAAACCTGCCGTTTGCATACATGCAGGATGTTAGATAACAAGGAGTGTTTACTATCATTATTTATTACTGTGGGTGGTAAACAATCATAAAACCATCATCTTAATCTGAATGTCCTCCGCTCATCTAACCATCATCTTCATTTCCCTGTATGTTTCCTTTATTTCTGACATGGCAACAATATCTAACAATAGTAAGACAGAGAGAGTCAATAAAACACAAGACACCTACCTGTTCCAGTTATTAGATGACCATGAATCATAATGCATCCTTTCTCAGCCAAACACGCGATTAATATCCAAATGCGTTGCAATCGATTTTCAATCTATCGACCAGAGATTATTCACAGTATTCCATAGCCAAACGAGCAGCTTCATAGTGAAAGAAAAAGCAACAGAAATCACAGAAACTAACTCGTACGGACGCGAAGAATGACAAGCGTTTAAAACGCAGCGCACGCCTGTATCCACGGTTTGTACGCGAACACTTTGATCTCGGTTACTTCCAGTTGGCGGCGCGACAGATACTAGTGAGGTCCGATTCGCGAACGAGTCGATCTTTTGAATCGGTTCTTTTTGATTCAAAACAATAATGTACAGTATGTGGAAAATAATGTGTTTTTTGAACATTAAACCGCATAAACACATTTCCTTACACCAAATAATGTTCTTTTTAGCAGCATCATATGACCCCTTTAAAGCGTTTGTAAATCACTTCACAGTTAACTCCACTTTTGAATCTTGGAAGGAAGCTGAAGACAAATGGGTCTTACAAAATGTACCATGGTCTTGCCAAAATAGTCACTATAGTTATGGTTAGGCTACTACAACAAAAATGTAACTTAACCACACCACCTAAAAAAAAATGGATTGAAGATGTCAGTGTGACATGAATGTTACAATTAATGAAAATTCTAATCTCCAAAATAAATTTGCCAGGGGATGACATGAACAACACAGCACTTGACACAACCTTAACCTTGCCAATAGTGGCAATCAATAGTATTAACTAACTAAAAGCCTACTTAAACAGAAAGACTCTCGGAGACATTGGTGAATCGGTTCATTTGAATTACCTCACGAATCGTTTGAACGAACCGACTCGCTCACAGACTCGGACTTCCCAAAGCTAAATACATTTGCTACTACGACTGGCGTTCAGTCATTCCGAAGTCCCGCCCCCTCTGACTGTCCGCCGGCCTGTTGTCCAATAGCATGCGATATTCAAATATGCTTGACGACTTCAACCAACCGGATTTCTTCTTACATAAGAGGCACATGCGTATGTATTCTCTGCTCAGTTACTTACTGTCACTATTTATTAATGCGGATTGTGAGTGCTTGTGTAATTCACTAGTGGCTCAGAAACCTGTTTTTAAAGCCTGATATGCAACGATGTACTACTGCCAGCTGTAAATGTTTTAGAGATATTATCAAGATCATGCTGTAAAAACGTTTTGTTGCCTTGACAACTTTTTTTTGGAAGTAATTGACATTTCAGATTAATTTTTTTTAAATTATCAGATTAAAATAATCAGATCCTCCTCCAAGATTTTATTCCAAACACTAGTTCTTGGCAGTATTTTATGTAATCATGATTAAACAAATCTAGTTCTTCAAAGCAGTGGCGCGCAATATCACTGGCTAGAATGTTTTCACAAGTCCCAAGTTGAGCACACTTGAAAACTTGACATTATGAAAACTGAATTTACCTGGAATTAAATTAGTATGCAGTTTAGTAATATTCTCAGCTGTCTAAACCCTCATAGTGTTCACACTTCCTTCCAAAATAAATCGTACACATTTGCCATAACCAGCTGGCCATGCATCTGTTCAGAGAAAAAATCTCAGCCCACAATTCTATAACAATTTGTCTAACATTCCAATGCAATCTTTTTGGGTTTAAAGAACATTTCCAGTCTCAAACTCCATTATAGTGACATAGAGCATGGATGCAGCGTGAAGCTCTCGGACAAAAGCAATGGAGGTCATCGGTGTTTTGTTTGCCTCTTTCCACCACAATGCATCAGGAACAATAGGACAACTCTTGTGACCCATTCTGAAATAAAAGGCTGCTGAATCTCAAAGAACAGCTTTTCTCCTATTGTTTGAAGGCCTGGTGCACTATTGACCAAGACAATATAAGGTTTACTATCATTTGGTTAGGCATCCTAGTTGATAAAACAACAACAGCAACAATACTATAAAACTTGCTCTCAACTGAAAAGAGGACTTTGGAGCACTGGGCAACAGTCCAGTTCTTCTTCTCCTTAGCCCAGGTAAGATGCCTCTGATGTTGTCTGTGGTTCAGGAGTGGCTTAACAAGAGGAATATGACAACTGTAGCCAAATTCCTTGACATGTCTGTGTGTGGTGGCTCTTGATGCCTTGACCCCAGCCTCAGTCCATTCCTTGTGAATTTCACTCAAATTCTTGAATCGATTTTGCTTGACAATCCTCATAAGGCTGCGGTTCTCTCGGTTGGTTGTGCATCTTTTTCTTTCACACTTTTTCCTTCCACTCAACTTTCTGTTAACATGCTTGGATACAGCAATCTGTGAACAGCCAGCTTCTTTGGCAATGAACATTTGTGGCTTACCCTCCTTGTGAAGAGTGTCAATGGATGTCAACTGTCAGATCAGCAGTCTTTCCCATGATTGTGTAGCCTAGTGAACCAAACTGAGAGACCATTTTGAAGGCTCAGGAAACCTTTGCAGGTGTTTTGAGTTGATTAGCTGATTGGAATGTCACCATATTCTAATTTGTTGAGATAGTGAATTGGTGGGTTTTTGTTAAATGTGAGCCAAAATCATCATAATTAAAAGAACCAAAGACTTAAACTACTTCAGTCTGTGTGCACTGAATTTATTTAATACATGAGTTTCACAATTTGAGTTGAATTACTGAAATAAATGAACTTTTCCACGACATTCTAATTTATTGAGATACACCTGTATCTTGATAATGTGAATAATAAAAGTTTTCATCCGTTGCTCTCCACACTTTGGCACTTGACCGGCAGTAATTCGATTAGCTGCAGTATTACTAATGGTCCACCACTTATAATCACAGAATTAACGTTTAAATCCTGATGTTTCTACAGGTTTATGAGTAAAATTGATTGATATTGCATGTTCATATGTGTCCTATACACACAAAAATAATTCATGCTTAAAACAAGACCACTTTTAGTTTAACGCCAACATAAATATGCAGTGTTAAAAATGATTGAAAGATTTTTAGAAGTTGCAAATAAAAAAGAGAAAAAAGAATATTGGAGTATTTTCTTATAAGAAAATACTGTCTCTCTTTGCATTTAATTTGACATGTTAACTTGTCAGGTTTTCTAACAAACTAGCAATTTCTGAGTGAATATCTTTCTACACTATTTTTTTTTCTTCAGTACACATTTAATGGTGAAAACAATTAAAAGAGGTATTTTTAATGAGCGGACGAAGAAAGTATTTTTTTTTAAATAACAATTTATAAAATGTAACATAAATAAAACTAAAACAAACCTTTTGCAACCACATAACAACATCCTAAACAACCCACAACATCCTTATATATATATATATTTAAGAGCTATTATTCCAGCAACACTTCTGAGTGACGATTCAAACTAACTGTTGAATTGGTTCCTTTGAATTAGGTCATTAAAGGGATAGTTCACCCAAAAATGAAAATTCTATCATTAATTACTCACCCTCATGTCGTTTCAAACCTGTAAGACCTTCGTTCATCTTCGGAACACGCATTAAGATATTTTTGATGGAATCTGAGAGCTGTCTGACCCTGAATAGACAGCCACGCAACTGAAATGTTTCCAAGTCCAGAGACGTAGCAAGGAGATCGGTAAAATAATCCATGTGACATCAGGGGTTCAATCGCAATTATACAAAGCTACGAGAATACTTTTTGTGCGCAAAAGAAAAAAAAAATTTATTCAACAATTCGTCTCCTCCGCATCACCCTGTAACGCCATTTTGTAAAATAACGTATGTTGTTCTGTGTCAGCTGCGTCACGCCGGATCTGTTTCCTATGTTATAACAATTTATAAAATGTAACATAAATAAAACTAAAACAAACCTTTTGCAACCACATAACAACATCCTAAACAACCCACAACATCCTTATATATATATATATTTAAGAGCTATTATTCCAGCAACACTTCTGAGTGACGATTCAAACTAACTGTTGAATTGGTTCCTTTGAATTAGGTCATTAAAGGGATAGTTCACCCAAAAATGAAAATTCTATCATTAATTACTCACCCTCATGTCGTTTCAAACCCGTAAGACCTTCGTTCATCTTCGGAACACGCATTAAGATATTTTTGATGGAATCTGAGAGCTGTCTGACCCTGAATAGACAGCCACGCAACTGAAATGTTTCCAAGTCCAGAGACGTAGCAAGGAGATCGGTAAAATAATCCATGTGACATCAGGGGTTCAATCGCAATTATACAAAGCTACGAGAATACTTTTTGTGCGCAAAAGAAAAAAAAAATTTATTCAACAATTCGTCTCCTCCGCATCACCCTGTAACGCCATTTTGTAAAATAACGTATGTTGTTCTGTGTCAGCTGCGTCACGCCGGATCTGTTTCCTATGTTGTTGTGATTTGATCTGAATGGAAACAGTGTATCCGTGTGACGCAGTTGACACAGAACAGCATACACTGTTTACGTCCAGCTGATACTATCCAAAATGGCGCTACAGGGTGACGCGGAGGAGACAAATTGTTGAATAAAGTCGTTTTTTTTTTTTGCGCTCAAAAAGTATTCTCATAGAATGCTTCATATAATTGCGATTGAACCACTGATGTCACATGAATTATTTTACTAGATCTCCTTGCTACGTTTCTGGACTTGGGAACATTTCAGTTGCGTTGCTGTCTATGCAGGGTCAGACAGCTCTCAGATTCCATCAAAAAATATCTTAATTTGTGTTCCGAAGATCTTGCGGGTTTGAAACGACATGAGGGTGAGTAATTAATGACAGAATTTTAATTTTTGCTTGAACTAACCCTTTAAGAGAAAGTTTTGCTTAATGCCTCAGACATCCCATAGCTAAACACATTTGTTACATTGACCTATTTCAGTAGTTAAAATCATTTTATAGTTAAAATGAAAAATATGTGATGTGTTTTCATTAATAATTGTTTATTCCCCCATTTATTTACTTTCATGAAAAGCTAGAATGTAAGCTTATGAAATAGAGCCTCAACACAAATCAATTAGTTCAACCCACAAATCCAGGCCACTGGCACCTATTGAGAAATGAAATTGTATCCTCTGTCCCATGGTATACATTTGAAGGTGCAGTGTTTCATTATTGTGTCTTTTGTACGTGGTCTTTTTCTTACCATGCTCCTCTGGTGATGTTGTACCTCAGAGACCCAGCATGAGAAACTCACCCATCTCTTTGTCTGTCATTCAGCGGATCTTGTTTTAGGCTGCTGGGAGAGAGGAC